TTCGCTACAAGATGTGAAACACTATACAATCTCTCTTCTTCAGTGAACAATGATTGCCGTATACACTGAGAGGAAAACAAACACGTTGTCAAACAAGTCTTGTTTGGGCCGACAAAATCGCTAGTTGAAAATGGCCAAAAAAGAATTTGTTTGGTTCGAGTTTGAAAGTCTCAAACATGAATAATTGTTCTGCTTTCGACAACAATGAAATATTTGGCTCAAGAGGATAATTCACACCAGACGGTGCCTTTTCAGGATGAAAATATATCATATAGAGGAAAATTTATCAACAAATATTTTATCCCTAAGCTACAAGATTGCTATCATATCATTATTATTGTTTCATTTAAAGGCCCATTTCTTGTCTGTGATTATTAGACAGCCGAAAAAAAAATACTATCCTTTGTTTCGCATAAAACACAGATTTTTCGGGAGCAAAATACGTATGGGAGTATCGAATAACGAAGGAGTAGCGCTAGAAATCACATTTCTTGCGTGTACAGAGAATGGAATTTTTTTTGAACCACTAAATCTATTTTTGCAACAAAAAATTTTCATTCCGGCGCACTCTCCGCATGTTTGGCACAAAAAAATCATTTTTTGATCATTTTCAAAAAACTTATTTCGTGGTACAAGTAAGGCTTGTTTGAGAACTTTGTCGTTTTTCTCTCAGTGTATGACGAACCTATTACTACCTAACTGCTAATTTTTTGTTCATTGTCCATTTTAACTCGCTACATTATATAGGTCTTCCCTCAAAATACTCAATTAATGAGATAGATTTTATCATTACTTAGATGAGTATTGAGAAATATTTTCGATTTCATTAATATGGTATTTAAAAATGCGAATTTCTCAGTACTCACCCACAATATAATGAAAAATATTTCCACGTTACTAGTGATTGAGCAATAAATATTTATTTGCGGCACAACTATTGTGAAAATAATATTTGTGCCGATCTCTGGCGGAGCGTGAGTAAAATTTGACTTTACGTACCAGTGATGAAATACTATATTGTGTTATCTTTATGCTGCCCCCTATAGTCACCTCTAATAACGATAAAATAATCCACTTGATACCATGAACAATCTCTCCCTCACGTACTTATCTCTATTTGAATAATGTAGATTTATATTTCTTGCTATCGCCACACATATCCTTTTGATAAGTTCTCATTATGTAAACATACTTTGCTAATTAATCCTCTTAATGAATAAGAATTTTATTCGCAATTATGTTTGCTGCCATACAACTTATTAGTCATGTAATTGGCCTCGGCTGTATGACTAAAGTATTGAATAAATGAAAATATAAGAACCTTGGGCAGACGAAAGTATTCATGGGATGAACTTCCTACAAGGGTAGATCGCTGTTATGTCTCTGAGGGATGCGAGAGCCTTGATCGAAGAATGCAGCGGATATTGAAGAGGGGAGAAGCAACGTACCGTACTTTCCAGGGAGGATATAACAAGAAATAGAAGGGAGGAGAGAAAGAACCAGGAGGGAACCAGGACGGTAGAAAGTACATAAATAAACAGCCCTTACAGGAACAAAATACTTGGTTGATATTGCATGAACGTTGAAGGAACAAAGAAGACGTATATCTGTGTGGCAAAGGGTCTGACACACAGAGCAGGTTGCGAAAGAGAAACCCTGTCTCAGCAGAGTCTGTTTTTCAAAGTGAAAAATTTATTCCAAAGCCTTTTTAACATTCCTTTGGCTGTAAAAGTTTCGCAATTTTGAGTTCTTTATGATTTTTTTTCCTTTCTTCAAGCTTTTCTGGGGTGGGGAAATGGGATAGCGTCAAATCTAAGGATGAGCTACTGCTTAGTATTTGTCTTCTTTTATCCCTTGAAGATTGTAAAACCACGACTACATGCTTTTGTAATCGTAACAGGGAGCAATCGAGTGCGGGAGAATGGCATTTGAGTCCTTGATCCGCAATGAAGGGTTCGAGGCCGAGGAGAAATAAATGAAATGAAAAATGTTTCCATGCTGGATAAATAATGTCTACGGAATTTTGTGATTCAAAAGGAAAATTTAGATTTCCATAGAACTACAAAGACTCATGATTTATGGTTACACCGGGGGAATATGAAGAATGACGAGTGAAATTGTAGTCAGAAACTCGTGAGTCAAAAACCTCAAAAGATGACGAATGTCGGATGAATCAAGCTACACTGGAGTTGAGAGTTAAACATACAAGAAAGAGTTCTGCCTTGAGGGACTATGGCTGGAGAACAAGCAACGTGCAGACGTATCTCATCATATCGTCGAGACAACAATCGTTAATGCTACTCCAGGGTGGACAATGGATCTGCGTGGCAGTGACAAAGGAGTTTTACTGTCAGTTAGTGGAAGATTAATGTCCACTCGCAGTTGTACCAAATGTATTAGTCATGAGGATGATGTGTAAGGTTCAGGGAATTAAGATCGCGGCACTAAGGCAACTTCCACCAACCGGAAATGAGCGCAGAAACTTGTTTGAAGGAAAATTTTGGTGTTATATGATGAGGAATTCAATTCAGCTTGAGAATAACTTGGGGCAGAACATAAAGAAAAGCCTCCAGACGGTTTTACCTTAATTCGCACGTGAAAACAAGGGGTTCGAGCCTATGCGAGAGGAGGCATGTGACCGTTACTTTTTACGTCACGAGATCGAAGGCGTGCTCCGCGTGCCCGACAATTTCATAGATTTTATATGATTCATCACGTTATTATTTAAGTTGGTTGGAATCAATATGTTCTTTCACGTATACGAATTTCTATAGTATTACTAAGGAGAAATTCGTGGGAAGCGATGAGAACTTCTATTCAAAATCCATGATTTTTTTTATTGCAGAGGAATGGAAATTTCCATCGAGAATCAATAGACTAAGAGAAAAATCGACATAATATCATAAAAATTATTTCTTGAGCAAAAACCATCGCATACATATTTGATCAATTTATGGTAGGTTTCAGACAAGAAAGCGGTGCTCTTCGGGCTAAGGAGGAAGTTACTGAATGAAAAGATGATGTATTTTTTCGAAATCAGATAAAATTCCTTCCAAGATAAGCATTGTTGGACAAAAGGAAAAGAAGCTATTGCTTCCCTTCGAACTCAACACGATTGAGCGTAAGCGACGGTTATATTTTTCTAATATCTGGAGGTTTTCCGCTGTATAAACTCTCTATTCATTCAATATGAAAGTCTCTGATTCATGATTCACTAAATTGAAGCTTTTAATGTTTTTAGTCATTTTCTCATTTTCTGACACGAAAAAACCGATTTCTTGTGCAAAAAAATGTTCACTTTATCATGAAATGTTCATGTTCAGGTCATAAACACTTCACCGAAATTGTCTGGCACATTATTCGAAATTCTTATCCCAAGAAATTTATCTTCAAGAGATGGGATATTTGGCGCAAGAAATTAGTTTTGTGATATTATAAAGATATTTCTCAGTGTTGGATATACAGCAAAAGCTATGAAAATTTGCATTAGAAAGCGAAGGATTTTCCATAGAAGTCTATTAAAATTTCTATTAAACGACCTTGAAAAATTCGTCGAAATCCACGAAAACTTCTATTGAGAATCGATACATACACCGTTGGAAATCACCAACACCAACATTATCACCAAAATCACTATCATCATCATTATCATGTGTGCGATTTTTCTTTCAGACATTTAGGAATGAACGTGTGACATCTTCTTTTTATATAAGAAGATTTGTCTCTTTTCTTTTTGCTTCCGAATGGAAGCATTGTTTTTATTTCTACCAATGTCATTGGTAGAATGATACAATGAGCCAAAATCTCAGATTTTTAGCTACAAATTCCATCGTATTGATGTTGAATTTTCTAAAAATTAATCACCAAAACCCCAAGTTGTCAGATACAACCCCACAGACATGACCCTAAAAACCTAATTTCTTCACGTTTCATATAATTTTAGACCATTTGCAATCAAAATTGGAAAATCGAAAAATTAGCCAAAGACAAGGCTTCCATTCGGAAACAAAAAACTGTATAAAACAAGTAGGCGACTGCAGCCATGCGGCTGTACATATTCTACTGAGTAGGGCGTCTATTCTTTTGTCGCCATCAATATATTGATTGCGGGCTTCCGAATGGATGCGTTTTATAGTAAATGTCTACCTAGAATATGTTTATAATTTTTTTCTTCTACGTGTTTATTATCGCAGATATTAGGCGGTTTATTGATGGAATTTTTCTGGTCATATCTCGATTTTTACTCAAGTTAGAGCGCGAACAAGGATTTCAAGTCAAAAACAGAAAAATACAAATATCTCAAAAACTTTGTATGAGCGGGTATATATGTTTTGATTAATTTAGATAGAGGACATCAAGCCGAATATTTTGAAAAAAAAATCATTGAGATCGGTTGACTCGTTATTGAGATATTCAAGACATTAGGTTTACATACAAAGTTGAATATCTCCGAAACTAATTGACCCATTGAGCCCATCTTCCATACAGGTCCTTACGATGATAAGAGACAGCTTCATGCCGAATTTCAAGTCGATATCTCAATTTTTAAAAACCGAAAAATCCAAATATCTCAAAAACTTTGTATGAACGGGTATATGTTTTGATTGATTTAGATAGAGGACATCATGTCGAATATTTTGAGAAAAAATTATTGAAATCGGTTGGATATTTTCCGAGATATTTGCGAGAAAAGGTTAAAAAACGAATGGATATTGCTCAAAAACTAATGGACGGATCAAGCTGAAGTTTGGCATGGAGTTAGTCTCAAGTTATACCAATTAACTGAAAAAAATTCAAACTTTTTGGAATAATTTTTCCCGTTTAATTATCAAATTTATGAAAAAATGACCACCGACTGGACAGTGTCACGCACAGACATAGTCCCCAAAATTCGTATTTTTACGTTTCAGACCATTCTGCATCATTTCCAAGCAAAATTAGAAAATGTGAAAATCGAACGATTGCAATGCTTCCATTTGGAAGCAATAGGCATCACATACCTTCGGACGGTTTCTTCGACAGTCCAAAGCCAGCAGGCGGTCGTCTCCATCCCCGCCAGTTGTTGATGAGTGATTCGGCCTCGCTGCTCCAGCTGCACAGCGAGTCCTCCTCAAATCTATCTGAATCCTCGAATGAGTATCCATCTGCTTCCTCCCATACTTCAAGTATTGCCCTCGCTTGTGCACCATCGACAACGGGTGGATTACGTACACCACCATTGTTAGCCCCTGTACCACCGTTATTACTCCCAGTACCACCCCCACTGCCTCCACCGCTGCCACTGCCGTTTCCACCCACCACCACGGGGGAACGAGCCAGGTTGCCCGCCAGTTTTAATTGAAGGTGTTTTCAACCACCCGCAATAACTACCACTTTAAATTGAATAATAATATTTTTTTGCGAGGTGAATTATCCCTCGCACAATGGGAATCGATCGACCTCAGAGTCGATCCCCCGACGTCTCAACCCCCCTGACGACGCCACTTTCCTGACCTTTCTCAACTCTGAAATGGAAAAACAGAAATCCATTATTTATTTAGGTTCACAACACCCAGGAAAAAACAAGCTTTATTGTGAGACTTACGACCTCAAATTGAGACTTTTGAAAGTCTCAAATGGAGATTTTCAAATGTTTGAAATTGAGACTTTCAAAAGCCCTGTTAAAGAAAAATTTCAAGTTGAGTTCCAAGTCTTGATTGATGCATTCAAAAGTATCAACTTGAGTTTTTTAAAAGTCTGAAGTTGAAACTTTTCGAAATACAGTATCAAGACTTGAAAGTCTTAGATTGAGACTTCGAGAACTTTCCTTAAAGAAAAATACTAGGTTGATTTCCGAAAGTTTTCACTTGAGGCATTCAAAAGTACCAACTTAAGTCTATGAAAGTCTTGAAACTTAACTTGAAACTGTGACAACTTGAGTTTTTTAAAAATCAAATTGAGACTTTCAGAACTTCCCGTGAAGAAAAATTTCAAGTTGATTTCCGAAAGTCTGCACTTGAGGCATTGAAAAGCATCAACTTAAATCTATGAAAGTCTCAAATTGAGACTTCCAGAACTTTCTTTGAAGAAAAATTCTGCGTTGAGTTCCGAAAGTCTTAACGTGAGGCATTCAAAAGTATCGACTTAAGTCTAAAAGTTTCAACATGACACTTTGACAGTCTCAACTTGATACTTCGAAAGTCTCAAATTGAAATCTTCAAGTCTCAACTTTAGACTTCATTCTTTTTATACCTAACTTATTTTACATATTATGATAGGACAATTCCAAGAATCATCAGTGATAGCAATTAAATTAGGGCTTGAAAACTGTACTTCAATGCCTTCCTAATCAAGTTGAAAAATCATGAGAACAGCATCATTGCTTATCAAATTACACAATACCGTCATGAGCTTCTTGTATCAAAAAATCTCTATCTCTATTAAACTCTGGTACTAGTCTATCATGTTGAATACTTATTGATATTAAGGCATGGTCTAGAGTAATTTCTGACAGAACCTGGGTTAAGCTCTGGCTAAATGCTGAATAACCCCTGATTAAATCCCGGCTATACACCGATTAAACCTTGATTGAACCTTGATTAAACCGGGACTGAAACCAAATTCGAGTCTTAAAAAGGTCTGGATGAAGAATTATTTGATAGCACGAAATAATACGCGAAATTTTGATAACATTCCAATTGATGATAGTACTACGACATAACAAAATAGAAGAGAATAGTTAAATAAGAATTTAAAAAAGGGGAACCCATTGAGAAGCAAATTGCCAATTTATTAGCAACAATTTCTTTTCTCATTTATGAAAAAATGCCATTGTCCACTCGTTTTGTACGACTCGTTTCCAAGATATTAACGGAAATAAAATTTCGCAACACAACTTTATAAGCAGATCTCTTTGTTTATCAGTAATCTTTCCTTCCACTCGTTCTCCCCCACTTATGCCCAATATTTATGTAATTCTCAGTGTCAGAGTTCAGATTATCGATCGAGGTCGTAAAAAAACTGCATGAATGAAAGAATAATAACCCCAATTCGATAATTCATTATGTAAACACATTGTGATTTCACATTACAAACACTTGCTGTTTACCCCTTTTGACTCTGCGTAATATTCAAAATCCAATGGATTTCATAATTCAACATGCAAAACCTTGAAATCATAATTGATACACATACCCTCCTCCGGCTATCAGTGAGGCCTTTCACTCGGCATCCCCATACTATTCAATTTAAATCCTTATTTCGAGATAAACATTTTACTTTCACTGGACGGCTATTGAAGGTGAAGCCTTACCAAGCCGGCGTTACCGCAAGGTTGAGGGACTGTCGATTGCATCGATTCAGAAATCAACGAGAAGCCAATTAAATTTGCATAAATCGACACTAAATGCTCAAAATTTATATTTTGTCTGCATCTTGCTAATTAAATCTAGTAAAATATCTCTGGATGTTCGTTACAAGGAACTTTACTCAAACCGCAACTGATAATTAGGGAGTTGAACATCAGCAATTGTTTCGCGTTTATCAGAAACTTTGTTTATGAATATTTCCTAAAGTTTTGGTTAGATAAATCAAAATAAACCACAAACACAATTTCCAGGGTTAAAAATTCCGGCTGAATTGGCCTTTTCGGAATGTTCATCAGAATTCTAGGAGAAAATGGAGAAATCTGGTAAAAATTCTTTCTATTCATCTCTATGTGGCCTTCAATCCTCATAAAACGCAGGAAGTGAAAAAAATATATATATATTTACTCAAAAATCTCTAGAACTAACTGGGGAAATTCCTCTCTTCTTCGAACTTATGAAAAATCCACGTTTCAGAATTTGAAAACAGTAAAAGAAATTCGAGTAAGTTTACAATTATTAAATAATTCCTGAAATAAAAGAAGCCATATTTTAGGAATTTTCATTTGAATTTGCAGAGAAAAATGTGAAGCAAAGCATAAACTTTCTCTTTTGTAGCGTAGTTTTTCGCAAAGGAATAGTGAAATTTATAAGTTTATGATGGAAAAGTTCGAAAGAGACTCATGAATTGAGAAAAAGAAAAGAAAATCTATTCCATCGATAATCCCTAAAACCAATTTAGGCAAATTTAGGGAACTCTTCTGGTCAAACTGTACGTATGAAAAAAATTCACACAAAAACCGAGTGGACTTGCTCGACAATTCTATTGGATTTCTATTGAACTTTCTATTAGTTTTTAGCCAATTCTATTACAATGTTCAATAGAAAATATTTATTTTTGTATACAATTTATTCTATTGACATATTTTCTCTAAAATTTCCTCGGCTCAAATTTTTCAATTTTTTTTGTTTTCTTGATAAAAAGAAAAGAAAAATGAAATTAAAAACACCTGGAAAAGTTGAGTCGAGGAAATTCTATAAAAAATATTTCAATAGAGTTAGTTGTATAGAAAAATAGGACTCTATTAACTTTTTCTATAGAATATTTTTTATTGAACATTGCAATAGAATCGACCAAAAACTAATTGAAAGTTCAATAAAAATCCAGTAGAATTGTCGAGCGCATTCGCTAAGAGTTTTCGATTAATTTTTTCGTGCACATAGTAATTGTAACAATATTTTGGTGGAATATTTTCTGAAAGTATTGGAATTGTTCCTATCCTCATTACATTTCAACTCTAATTTCTCACTAAAATCCCTGCAAGGTCAACCCTCCACAATAACTCAAGTCCAGAAATTATTCTAAACAAATTATTCCCTCTACGCACCCCCATTTGTCCCTTTGAACTTATCCTATTGAGATATTTTCTATAAAATTTCCTTGGCTCACATTTTCCAAGTTTTTTGGTTTGATTTTCTTGATAAAAATAAAGGAAAAATACACTGAAAAAAAATTAGAAAACTTGAGCCGAGGAAATTCTACAGAAAATATTTCAATAGAATCTAATAGAATTAAAACCGAATAAAATCCAATAGAATCCAATAGAATTGTTAAGTGAATTTGCTAGATTTTTCTATGAACTTTTTTCACGCACGTAGTAACTGCAGCAATATTTTTGTGAAATATTTCCTGAAAGTATTAGAATTGTTCCTATCCTCATTACATTTCAACTCTGATTTCTCACTAAAATCTCGGCAAGGTCAGCCCTTCACGATAACTTAAACCCAGAAATTATTCTAAACTGATTATTCCCTCTGCGCAGCCCCACTCCCCTCAACCACCAAAACCCCTGAAGTAAAAAAAAACCTCCAAACCACACCGAAAAAAATCTCCTCCCCTTCACCCCCAATTTCCAAAAACTCGAAACAGCTGATTCCTGTTCTTCCCAGCGGTATTGATCCCACCCTTAATTTTCCAGCTAAACCGTCATTGTGCGACACCACCAACAGTCACCCAGTCTCTTTGTCTCACGCATGACGCCTGAACAAAAACAATGCCCTCCCTCCTCCCTCAAAAAAAAAACTCCAATCCCGCTCTGAACCACAACTCCCAGCCGCTCAAATTAATCCCAAAAATCCCTCTGCTCCCTTTCGAAGCCGTAAAACCACCGGAAAAACATATGGGACGCCATTCATATGACGGTGACTGTCAGAATCTAGAATCCAGCAACAAGCAACAACTGACAGAAAATTTCTCGGGGTAAGTGAATTCGTTCGACGACCCCGAGGCCTCCGGGGGAACCACCCCACTGGTCATGGGCCTCTCCCCCCCTTCTCCCTCTTCCCCTCCCCCAAGAGGCCGCAACAAAGGCGAAAGAAAAAACTGGCCGCACTGCAAACTTCGACTTCATCATAAAAAAGAATAAAAAAAAAAAAAAATGAAAGAGAACAAAGTAAACTCTCACCTTTTTGTTGTCTCCTCAGTTTTCCCACAGGTCTCACAACACAATTACCAAAACTGACCGCACTATCACCACACATGAACCGTAAATTTAATGAATTACCGGAGCCACAGGAAAGATGATTTCCCTCAGACTCCCATAAACTTGAGTTTTATCCGTAAAAGTTGACGCTTCACAATTCACCCACAACACATCACCTCAATGATTAATTAAGGAATTATTCCTAACTGACATTGTGATAACGTTAGACTGTGGTGTGCGGAATTGTGCTGTGAAGGTGTGATTTTTCATGACACGGGAGAATATCGAGGATAAGGGCCCCCACGACCCAACAACAAGCCAGAGTTTTTTTCCCCCGAGTTCTAGTCACTCTACCCCAATCGACGACAACAACAAATATGGCTGATGTTTTACTGTGGACTCCCTGGTGAAAAACTCATTCGGGTAAGGTCGAGCCGTTCGGCCTGCCGCAGCGGGAATAGCCGAGTGAAAATGAGCGCTGGCGTCGGGAGTTGGTGGTTCGGGATTTCCCCGGAAGAGGCGCGAAGTTCGAAGATTTTTAGATAGAATTTTCCGGTAGAGGAGCTCCGGCAATTATTATTGTTGACGTTTTGTTAATTCTTCATTGGTAATTGTCGTCGAAAATTTCGAGATTTTTTTTTACTTTTGATTTTTTTCGAAAATTGCTTGTCGATAACACGATAACTAAAAAAAATGTTCTGAATTGATTGAAAGGTGACTTAAAAAAATTGTTTGGATGTCCTTTTGACCGAGTTCGAAGATGAAGGCGGTAACAATAATCGCTGTTTGATTTATTTGAAAATTTGTAAAAATTGGGTGTTTTTTGAAAATCAGAATTTCGGGGATATCTTTGAATATCATCCTCCCAATGAATTCAATCATAACTTAAAATGCTTCTTTTAATGCCATTAAGTCGAAGTTAAAAGATGATTACGATAGCTATATTGGTTGATTTAATTTTTACGATGATTGTTTATGAATTTCTCTGATAGTGGACTTTCTGATGGTTTCTTCAAGTGTAATGTTTCAAATTCATTGAAGGATGTATGAATAAAATTTTTCTGTTAACATTTTATCGAAGTGTTGGGAGAGATAGAACCGTAAAACAAACAATCAGTTGTCTCTTTATATTATAAAAATTCAAATCAACTTCTGGGGATAAAAATTTGGTACTCGAAATTAAGATTTTAAAATTAAGACTCACAAGAATCACGAGGGTCAAAATAAGGGTCACGAGGGTCACAATAAGGATTATGAAAGTCAGAATAAGGGTCATGAGGTTCTAGATAAGGGTCCAAATGAGAGTCACAAAGGTAAAATAAGGATCACGGGGGTCATATGGGGATTATATGTGGGTCACATAGCAGGGGGTGTAGCGCCTAGTATAGAAGAAAGGGATAATAAGAATAATGATGATGATAACATTTAACCAAATTAAAAATCTGATAAAATTAATTGAAAAGAAATCTTATTCAATTTAATAAAATGAAATAAACAATGAATTACACATGATAGAAGGAAGCGATGTGCAAAATAACCATTCGGAAGCATATTGCTATAATTTATTAGCAAAAATAACTACACTATATGCAATAAAGAGCAATTTCCCACTTGTTTAACTTCACCCGCGTTTTTTTCAATTTTTGGCGGGAAAAATTTAAATTCCATTGGGTAGGACGGAAGTTGCCTCCTTTTAGATTTCCTGCTTCGGTCGGACTGTATACAAGAGTTTCCAGTAGGTACTTTTTTGCGATAATTACGGGATTAAATGCTGGTTTATTTAAAAAATAGTGGTTTTGAGTGATTCGGGGAACTGTTGGGGATTTATTCATTGATTTGAGTGATAAATTATGGTTTTGTGGGGCTGGATGTTTGTGGATGATGATTGTCGACGTGACGAGGGGTTAGGAACTCTCCAAAGTCGACTGTCATCCATGAAGTCTCAAATTATTGTAAACGATAAATAATCGAGAGGTTTAACTAGTCCAAAGTGCTGTGGATTTGTTTTCATTAATTTCAACGTGATTTCGGATTTTTTAAATCAAATTTCTGAGGGCTTCTCGAAGGTGCAGTGATTAACCTATGATTCACACGTTATTTTCCAGCAACAATGGCACCTAAAAGGGGTAAGGTACAGAAGGAAGAGGTCCAGGTCTCCCTGGGACCACAAGTTCGTGAGGGAGAAATCGTCTTTGGAGTTGCTCACATTTTTGCCAGCTTCAACGATACCTTCGTCCATGTGACTGACTTGTCAGGAAGGTTAGGATCTCATTCGTTACTCTGATAAATCATTTCTGCATAGAATCTTTCCAAAACGAAAAAAAAAGATTCTAATTATTTTCTCACCTATTTTTTCTCGTGTATTACAAAAAAATTAAGTTGTCCATCATTTTTTCATACAGCTGGAGACTAATTTACAAAAAATGGGTACGAAAATGATGGGAATTTGTTGGTAGCTGCTGCAATCACAATGTAGTTCAGATAATTTATTGCAGGGGATTTTTGGATTTATTCGGTTTATGAGTCTTATTTATTTTCCAGGGAAACAATCGCTCGTGTCACCGGTGGAATGAAAGTGAAAGCTGATCGTGATGAGGCCTCACCCTACGCTGCTATGTTAGCTGCTCAGGTAAATATTCGGGCGAGTGGAGCAGAATGGACATTTTTGGCTTTTTAGAAATGTTAATCACTCATTAAACTTTTATTGTTATGGGCCTAGACTGAATAGGGTAAAAAGCCAATAGCTGGACGGTTAAAGAAATGTTGAACTTCGTTAAAGGATTTAAAATCGATGAAGTAGGGTAAACAGGTCAATTTCAGGAATATTTAATGCAAGATTTCAACTTGCATTAAATATTCCATAAACAAAATGAAAATTGTACAGATTATTTCACCTTTCCATAATATTACTCGTGTGTAATCATGTGATCAATTTTTTTTTCTATTGATCGAACCTTAATGAATAAAAAAAGTATGGCCCAGTCGTCCAGAAATTAGGGGTTTCGGCGGCATTCAACTATTTCTTAATTCAATTATTCTTTGTTTTGTTATTTTTACTTCAAATAATTTTTTCTGCTAATTAAAACGTTTTTGAAGGTATTGAAGCCAACATATCCCTATTTAGGTGATTCTTTTATTTTAGATCCTACCACGAAACTCAAATTTCCCTTAGCCGTACAGCAGTTGGTCTGTTCACCCTAGCCAAATGAATAAAAAATAAGTTCTAGGCCTGAAAGAATATATGAATTGCGAAAAAACAATAATTTGAAGTGGAAAAAATGAAAAGAAAAATAATTAAATAAGGGAAATGTGAAATATCGTCCAAATTCCCAATGATTGGACGCTAGGGTTAATACAAGGACGGTGTCGAGGAATGTAGACTTTTCATCCAGTTTATACCAAATAGATTCTTAATCTTCGGGCTGTGATTCTCTTCCTGAAATAATTGTACCATTTCCCACATCTGACTCTTTTAGAAGAGGATTTCTTTATTTCCTCCACAACACTTTGTCACTGATGCCTAACAAATTGCAACGCCACGCCACCCAGCACTGTATCTACCGAATTTTCTTTTCTCGCTGTAATGTTGATATTTTGAAGAAAAAAAGCTTCATAACGTGATTATATATAAGTGTTATTATTGATAATGATATTAATCCGGACAGTTTTCATTTTATTATTCATAGAATATTCAATAAAAGGTAAAATCGTCCAGCTATTGGCCTGCTCACTCTACAATTGATAATTGATTTTTGTTTAGAAGTTATAAACATTGCAAAAAAAATCAAGTGTCCATTTTACCTCAGCCTTCTCTATGTTGATGATGACTGGGTTGGGGTGGTTAGAAGGGTTCAGAAAAAGAAACTGAAGTGTTTGAACATTTCGGAAATGGGAGAATTTAGGAAAATTTTACTATTGAGGTTGTTTAAGGGGTAACAGAAAAATGTCAAATTGTCAAATTTGTCAAATTTTTGAAAAAATTTCCTGTTGAAAGTTATTGATATTTTTACAATGTCAAATGATCAATGTGCTTTGGGTTCAAAAAATATTAATGACTTTAAGCAGGAAATTTGTTTCAAAAATTTCGAGGAAATGTTATCCCTTCTGTTATCCCTTAATAATTTTACGATTGAGGTTGCTTTCTAATTTTACAATCGAGGTTTTTCGGTAGATTCTGTGGACTACAAAAGAGGGATTAAGACATTTTTGAAGAACATCTATTGGTTATAGGAAATTGACAAATGGATTTTGTCGTCATATCCCTGTATTTTCGGATTGAATCAAGTTATTTTGGGAATATCACTTGAGCTCGTTCCCTAGACCAGAAAAAAAAGTTGAAATAGAAATTTTGGAGATAATGTTATGGGCTGTGAAGAGACACTTTCATAGAGCCAACGGTTTAAGCAGTAAATCATTGAGATTTTTATCTTCAGCTCGAATTTGAGTATTTCGGGAATATCCTTTGATTTAGTAGATTTGAAAAAAATGTTTATAAGATTTCTTGTGAATAATTTTGTGGTCTACAAAAAAGACTTAATTGGGGACGCTTAATAACAAGACGCCCTCTATGAATGTCTGCGTTAAGGGTGCACATCTACGATACACAAGCAAATGGGGGCTTGTGTGAGCGCGTGTGTGTATACCTCTTTAACGGGCATATTGGCAAAAAACAGCGCCCTCAACGATATTTCCTGTTCCCAATATTTCTTGATAGACCAGTTCGTTTTAGAAATATCTCAAGAATTGTTCTTGTAATTAGCTGGGTTTCTTCGATTGTATTAGATTATTCTGGAAAAGTTCATCTTTCTGTCTGTTTTCTTATTAAAAAAAGACTTCACGATAAAATCCCTTTGAAGCCAAGAGAAAACGCAAAAAAATACAGGCAAATTACAAAAAACTCATAATGTAAACATTTTCAAATGAGTATTTTATATTTTGAAATTACAAGACTTTACGTAATTCACGGAATTTTATTTTACGAGATATCTGGAAAATAATCCTCGTAAAACTTACTCCAAATTTTTTATGATAAGTTCCTCATTATCCCCAATTAACTGATAGCAATTGCTAATGACACATGTATTTCAATGCTTAGGATGTCGCTGAGAAATGCAAATCCCTGGGTATCACAGCCCTCCACATTAAACTGCGAGCAACTGGTGGAAACAAGACGAAAACCCCAGGACCAGGTGCTCAATCAGCACTTCGTGCTCTGGCTCGTTCCAGCATGAAGATTGGTCGCATTGAGGATGTCACCCCCATTCCATCAGACTCAACTCGCAGGAAGGGTGGTCGTCGTGGACGCAGGCTGTAAACTATTCATCTATGTATGGTTTATCATACCTTACAAATAAATATTTGAAAGACCTTTAACATTTTTATTCGATAAATTATAGTTTTATTTTCCTCTCAGCAAGTTTTTCTCGTGATTATAAAAAATGTTAATTTGCAAGTTCATAAGCAAAGTGAATGATTGTTTTACCTCAATAATAATTTCTTGGTATTTGTTAGGGCCCTAAAAACGGTGGAAATGAAACAACTCCGGGTTTCAAGTCGCCCAAATGGTGAAAACTGGTCAAAACCTTGGAAATCCATTAGCGAAGCGGTAAAACGATTTAAGTCGATTTTGACTATTGGTCAGTTTTCAATGAATATCTCGAAATCTGACGGAGATTGCAAAATTTTCGTCAAGATCTTTTTTGTAGTGCTCAATTCGCTCTACAAAAACGGTTACTACGAAAATTTTGTTATCTCCCTTAGATTTCCGTACATTCCTCAACAACTCAGCTAAGGCCTAAATCGACTTAAACCATTTTACCATTTCACTACTGAATCGTTTGAATGGCTCATTTTTTTATCAATTGAACTAAACATTGGTTTACACATATTCCTCTGGACACAAGTTGCAAGCATGCTTGTATCATGTTGATTTTTATTTTTTTGAGAAACCTTTCTAGCACGTCTAGTTTTCGAGAAAAAAAATGTTGAAATGTTGAAAAATGGCTAAAATGAATAATTCGAAAAATTTGTAAAAAAATGAATTTGGACGTAGTTTTTCCCAAAAAAAAACTATGCATTAATAATGTGATTTGTTTAGTGGATTCAATTTCATCCCCATTGGTTGAATCAAAAAGAGTGAAAAAAATCCTCAAAGTCGCAATTTCATGATTTTTCTTGGGAAATCAAATGATCGGAAGTTGGTTGCACACACTTTGATGCACGCCTATTTCAAATCTATCTATATCCGTGTGTTAACCTCGACTTGACTTACCCTGAAGTTTGAAGATGTCTTTCCTGCAAGGCAACCGATTAATTGCTCTTATGAAAAGTCACCCTCAATTGTGGAGAGGTTTAGTTGCTAAAATAAAGTTGAAAAATAGATTGACGCACAAGGTTAACACACGTGTGTAGAGAGATTTGAGATTGGCATGCATTAAAGTGTGCACAACTAAGTTCCCATCATTTAATTTTACAAGGAAAATCATGAAATTTGGACTTTTTCGAGATTTTCTTCACTCACTTCGACTCAACCAATTGGGATAAACCCAAATGCACTAAACAAATTGGATTTTTATTAGTTGATTGTATTTTTGTTGGAAAAAAACTACGTCCCAATTCATTTTTTGATAAATTTTTTTAATTGCCCTTTTCAGCCACTTTTCAACACTTCAACATTTTTTTCACAAAAACTACACGTGCTAGAAAGATTTTCCAAAAGAAATTAAAAATCAGCATCAAAATATCTATAAAATGGGATCAGTCTCATTTTTGAGGTCGACGACGTCCGAATTGGAAATGTACTTGAAGGATTTCTGGAAAAAGCCCTTTTAGATCCTTTGTGTACCTCGAAACTCTCCAGAGTTCGTCTTTTTTCCACTTTTTTGCGGCTCCTGACGAGTGCTAAGAACTCTCAGATCCGTAGTTGGAAAATCCAAAGACTTTCAAATTTCACGGATCATTGAGGAGTTATGAGGATCCAGAGAGTTTGTCGAGGGTCAAGAAGAGTTGAACATTCAAGTCCACTTTCTGGGGAATTTTGTGCTCCAGTGTTGACATTGTATTCACGTATTCGTACCGCATCACCAGACCAACCACTACTGGATCATTTTCTTGACCTTCCAGAGGTGCGTAAGGCGTTATTTTTAGTTTCAGAACTGCTTTATTTCCTTTCCTCCAAACTACAAGCCTGAAAAAAATTAACTCATTCAGATCAGTGGGAATATTAAGAAATTAAGAGCTGTTATTCTTGGATTTATGTCAAGTATAGGTGAGTGATTTTTCTGTAGAGGAGAAATTTCCCCACAAATTATGGTTCTCAGGATTTTTTGATAGAAAAGATAATGAGAAATTTTGTTTTTACTTTGGGTCATCCTGAAAACTGTGGGTATCTCCAGTGTCATCGTACTCAGCAGTGTCATCCCTGGGAGGGAGTATCAATGTACTTGAAGGCAGTTCAATTGAAGCCCCAGGAATGATTTTCACGGGTTTTGGGTCCTCCATAACTGAGACTTGTCTCACTGCTGAAGGCAGCAAATTCGGTGATTCTCCACCCTGGAATTGAAAAAAGAGATTATTTTTTTAGAGTATTTCGTATTTATCTAGAAACTATTGACTTTATGAAAAAACCAACAAAAAGAAGTGGCCCATTGCACAGGTCTAAACCAAGTATAGTTTATTTGCTAAAAACTATCCATTTGCTTGCGATAGATTAATCGAATTAAAATTAAAAAAAGTGCATATTCGGTTTTTGCCATTAACTTCAGATTAGTAGGGATCCTTCCTGAAGTTCAACCTCAGGAAAATTCAATAGTTTTTTTTTTGGGACAATTTGATCCGGTGGCTTGGCGCAGTGGGTAAGTTCGTTGCCTCACATGCGAAAGGTTCCGAGTTCAAATCCCGGCCGGGTAGAATGGTGCGATCTAACCATTTAAAGTCTTGCTCATCATCGCAGTATACCCTAACCGGGTCGAAGCGATCTAAAATAACGATAAAAAAAAACAATTTGAGACAAAAATTTTTAGTGAACTGAATTGATTTTAGATTAGAGAGATCGAGTGAAAACAAAATGAATGTAACATTTAATATCACAAGAGTTCATGCTCTCGATACATCGATGTTGAAGTCTCCTCGGTCGTAGGTAAATTATTTAAATTTTATTTTTCTCCTGAATAGTTTTCCTTCAACTGGATTTAAGACCAGTATAATTTTTTTGTTAATGAATTGGCAATTTGCTTTTGAATGGTAAATTGGGGAAGAAGATATACCAGCCATGCAATCTTAATTTGATCCCTAAATGTCCCAAATGTCTAACGTGAGCTCCATATGCCCTGGTTAAACATCTAACAGACGCCGACTAAATTAAAATTGAACTGGTTTAAACTTCCACTGAGAATTGATTAGACCTTGACGAAACCTTGGTTAAACCCTGATTAACCTCCGATTAAATCCCGACTAAAGCATGAGAAAATCTCGATTAAATGTTTTTTAAGGCTATAATTTCGAGGTAAATGATGCGATCGCCACTATCTGTGCACTCGACCGAGATAACATCCAAACGAATATTTGAAGCTATAATTGAAAAGATTTCGACGATTATTTTTTGAATGATCGTCAAAAAACCAAATTTAAACAAGTAGGGGTTCGAGCCTTTTTGGCCGAAGCCATCTGACCGTTAATTTATGTGTTATAACTATTTTCCTTCCTTTCATTTCTACCAATTTCATTGGTAGTAAGCTTCCGAATGGGATAGAAGGCATTCGGATAGAAGGCATCGAAACAAATATTTTGAAAAAAAAAAAATGAAATCAATTGCGTAGTTTTTAAGCTATTGCACATAAAAGGTTTTCAGAGAAAGTCGAATATCTCGGAAACTACCTATGTGATTGAGATTATTTTCAATAGGAAGGATTGTTATCATGAGAGGAAGATTCTGTCCAAATTTCAAGTTGATATCTCAATTTTTGCACAAGCTAGAATGATTACAAGGATTTTTATGAAAAAACAGAAAAACGGAAATATCTCGAAAACTTGGTATGAACGGCCGTATATGTTTTGATTGATTCTGTTCGCAGGCATCGAAGCAAATATTTTGAAAAAAAAATTGAAATCGTTTGCGTAGTTTTTAAGATATTGCATATAAAAGGTTTTTGGAGAAAGTCAAATATCTCGGAAACTACTTATGCGATTGAGCTCATTTTCAATAGGAAGGATTGTTATCATGAGAGGAAGATTCTGTCCAAATTTCAAGTTAATATTTCAATTTTTGTACAAGCTAGAGTGATTACAAGGACTTTATGAAAACAGAAAAACGGAAATATCTCGAAAACTTTGTATGAACGGGTATATATGTTTTGATTGATTCGGATAGAAAGCATCGAAACGAATATTTAGAAAAAAAAATTAGAATCTGTTGACTAGCTTTGAAGATATTAGTGCAGATTGATTTAAAACCGAATAGCTTTTACTCAAAAACTATTTGATCAATCGGACTGAACTTTTGCACAGAGTTAGTCCTTGTTAAGGTTAGTCCTTGTTAAGGTCTATAATCTGACAACATTTCAGATTTTTTGGAATAAGTTTAACCAATTAATTACTCAATTTTCCAAAAATTGAGCACCGGAAAGGTGGCGATGGACCTTGACACCGACAGACATGGTCGCCAAACTTCGGATTTTTACGTTTCAGACCATTCTACATCATTTCCAATCAAAATTAGAGAATGTGAAAACAGCACGATTACAATATTTCCATTCGGAAGCAAAAAAAAGCTCACATACATATATACGGACATGATCGAAAAACAGCATATTCGAACTCCTGACACCAAAACTAGTCATCGTCACCCAAGAAAAATTGAAATTTCAGATTTGACAAATGCAATGCTTCCATTCGGAAGCAAAAATTACCAATTGCAAATTCTCCCTCCTCAACTCCTCCCTCTGCCCACTGGCCCCCATCGTCGTAGCATAGGTAGCAGCATCCCAATTCAATAGAACAATCTGCGTCTGATGCTGCGTGGGATTGCAGAATTTCAGAAGCAACTCGCTCGTTTTTCCCACCTGCAGTGGCTCAAACGTGACAATTCTGACCTCAGGCACATGATAAAACGCAGAGAGTTGAATCTTGAATTTGATGGACTGTGAGGAGAACTCGGGCTTGCTGACATTATGTTCGCACGTCCTGCATCTCTGGGACCTCTTCACCGGGAACTTCTTGTGCTGGGGCCGTAGTTCATTAATTTTCTCTGGCTGGACCTCAGGCTGTTGTAATCGTTGCTTTAGCGTCGTTATCTTCGTTATATCGATTTCCTCGGTGAAAATTGAGTCTGGGAGGTCGTCAATCTCGTCGGAGGCTACGGAGGGCTGGGGGTAATCCGTCTGCTGCCATTTTGGCTCGGAAACTGCTGGCAAACCTGTTGGTAAAAATTAGAAATGATAATGTTCTTTTACTAAAAAAATTCACCCATTTTATTATGATTTATTATTATTTATTAATGCATCAGGATACAATATCCCATCGCACGGAGAGAGTAATTACAGTAAAAACTTTAATTTGCTATTAAATCACCATAATTTGTAACTTCGTTTACTCAAGGAAATATTTAGGATATTTACATTGGCTACATTCACTCATTTATTTATCCATTTATGCAAATTTATTCATCTTTTTCGTATTTGTACGAATACTTTCGCCCGGTCGCTGCTTCCCGAACAACCAAGTGGTCAACACATGCGTGACACTCACGGCGTACCGAGAGCACATCCTTCCTAGGTGCACTTTCTCTTTTTTTGCTTCCGAATGGAAGCTTTATAATCGTTCAAAATTAAGTTTCCAAATTTTTGTGTCAGGGTAATTAAATATGGTCTAAAAAGTCTAAATATGCGATTTTTAGATGGTGTCTGTCTGTCTGTATGTATGTATGTGTGTCCTTTTTTTCAATTTTTGTTTTCGCAATTTTCGTTATAAGAGCTTGATGAAATTTCATGAATTTTTCCATGGATATAGACGTTAATAGGCTCTATTCATCGACACCAATTAAAGTTGAATTATTCATAGAGTTTGCGAAATATTGGTATTTTTTCAAAAATCGATTTTTCGACGCTCAATCCAAGAATTGTTATCCGAATGAAATGAATCATGGCTTAAAAAATTTGTATTGATAGCCTCTTGATTCTATCAGAATATGATGCGGATCGCATCTATCACTGTTGAGCTACTGCATATAGTTAGTGACTTTTTTTTTTTCATTTTTTTCATGATAACCATGAAAAATTAACAGTCATATCAATGAAATCATGGCTCAAAAAAATTGCTTTGATGCTTTCTCGATGAAGTACAAAGATGATGAAAACAGCATAACTATTTATTAAGTTGCATAGTAGCAATATAAAGCTTTAGGTCATATGGAGGCCATATATGGTTTGGTGACACGTTTTATTATCCGCGGACAAAATATCCGCGACAAAATATCCCGGACAAAATATCCACGAGCCAAAATATCTGAAGACATATTATCCACCGACAAGTGATCTTTTGTTATCTTATTAGTAGGCAAATTACCCTTATTTACAATATCAGTCGATAAATTATCAGGCGTGTCGCTTCTGTATTGAAATTCTAATCAAGACTATGACTTTGAACTTTAACGCTGATGACTGGGTTACACTGTCTGTTGACGTTCATGTATCGTTTTGATTATCTCGATGGAAAGTCTATTGGTGTTGATTGTTACGAGTTCTTATCGTTCATTAATTGTTGTCTCTTTGCGTTAATACGTGGTTATGATTATGTTGCTTATAAGTTTATTCTCATTGATTATTTAAGAATTCTGTTGTTGTTGTTCATGCATAATCATGTATTGGATCTGTGAATAGTGATTGTATTTATTGCGTGAAAGTTTGTTTGGACTAATTTCTGCTGCAATTTATTGAATATAAACATTCAAAACTATCATCTCTGTAATCTTTGCTAAATATTACCCACCCTACATTCATTAATAACTTTGGTATTTTAGCCTTTGGATGATTTTAATAAGAGATTTCACAGGAGGAATTTAGTCGGGGGATATGTCTTCGGATTTGTTGTCCCGCGGATATTTTGTCCGCGGATAATAAGTTACGTAATCATATGGTTTATATGGGATCATATAAAAGTTGTACGGGCTCATATGGGGTTTGAAGTGATATGGATTCATATGAGGTTCATATAGGGGGTGTATGAGGTCATATTGGAGTAATATGGCATTATATGGGGGTCATATGGGTGTCACTATTCAAAACAATAAAAAATAAGAGTAATAAGTTTCAAAAATAGAGAATCCATTCGGAAGCATATTTCTAATTTGCTAGCAACATAAACTATACCCATATAAAGAAAATGCGATTATCCACTTGTTATATACGTACTTTTCCTGATCCCTTTCCTTGACCAATTGCATTTGAGGAATTACTCGACGATTTTTGCTTCTGAAAATCGTTAACTCCAGTCTACTCCGAACAATTCACGGATTCATTTCGCACTTCAAATCACACCTTTAAATCGCTCTAGTCAAGTCTTGTTTCAACAGAGTTAATTCAAGTCATCATAAGAATACTCGATATAAGTTTTCAAGTACTTTCAAGACTAGTGTAATTTAATAGTATATTTTTAACCTAGGGAGGGAAAATAAAGGATCCTCCGCCGCCAGTGCAATTACCAGCCGAGCCGAAGGCGAGGTTGGTAAGCACGCGGCTGAGGGTCCTCTATTTTACTTCCCGTGGTTAGAACGCGATTTTCAGTCTCGGCGTAGGCGCAAAGTCAGAGTTCTCTCCCGCGAAGTGGGAGGGCAATGTAACTTTGCGCCCGCCGGGACGGAAAGTGTATTAAGTAAATTTTTAGTGCAATTATAGTGATAGTTCAAGTGACTCAACGCATTCATATTTATTTATAAACATTATAAACATTCAAAATCCTATTCACAAAATACATAACACCCCAAGTAAAAATCCCGTAGCTTGATCGTCTCAGGTTTCTCCCATATCCTATTCTAAAAAGAACATACACTTAAAGTCGATAACTATCGATATCTCGCAAGCCTGTCACGCTTATTCTTCATTGGTTCCAGTCGTCTGAGGCGGCAAATTTAATTCATGATTAATTTCATTTTGAAATTTTCCATTATGATTGTTACAATTACAGCGCGCTGTAGCGCGCGTTCGGTCTCGTTTTAGTACAAATCATCGTGGAGACGAGTATTGTAACGTCCAAAAATAATTCTTCATCATCGTTCTAAATATTAGTGAATCCAGTATTGAGAAATGGCCGACTTTCCGTCGTCATTTCCCAATCTCACTTCTTCCACATACATTTTCCACCCGTAAACTCAACGAAATTGAGACTAGTTAGCATAGCCCATGCTGTTGCTACCTGATCAGCAAAAATTCAAGCGTTGCACCACACAATTTAAGGGGTCAACGCTCATTTCCACAATCAAAATCAAAAGCCAAGCCAGTCGTTTATCGCTCCTCGTCTCGAGTGGTTGAGTCTTAAAGGGGGCTTCTCTCCCTTTAAGAGAAATACAAATTTCTTAGTGATCCCGAAATTATTGAACTACTGGTGGAAAATGTTCACAAAATCGATCTACCTTCGCGTTTCTTCCCATATAGTAATTCGCTTAAGTCGATACTATGCGTGGTAACCTATCGAATTAATAATAGATAGCTATCGGGCGTGTTTGCGTAGGGATACTGTATCCTTAAATCGAGAATAGTGTCTTTTCTTGCATATAAGGGACCTTCAATATTTTATTTCGCCTTTCATACCGGCCCATTAATTTATTTCTCTTCAATTCTACACAAACCTCTTATTATTTATCCAAGAGTGAAAGAAGGTAGACTAATTGAAAGTAACGCCACATGGTTTCGTTGCCGGTGATGAAATCGTTAGTTTACCGATGAATTCATATATTAATTTAAGCAACGAATATTTTTCTATATAATTATAAAATCTTAATCAATTACTATAAACCGAATAATCAATGCAAAGTCATTCATACTAATGTTGCTAAAATTCCGACAATAAAATTTATAGTTCTGATAAAATTATAACTTTCTAAATCTGAAAATGTGTAAACATTTAAATATTAAATTGGTTAGAACTTTAAAGCCGATTAAATAAATATAATAAATTGAATCAATCTTTTGATTCTAAATAAAACTTCAATTTATTTTTACGCCTGAAAAGGACTGCATAGCGTCGTCCTCATAATAAAAACTAAAAGAGATGAAAGATAATCCTTCAGATTATTCTTTTATTGATAATTTTTAGATTATGTTTCAAGAGTATTAAAATTAAAATATAAAAGTTGTCCTCCGACGCCGACATCTCCGGACATAACAGTATAATAATTCTACTCCCACTACTGCCCAAAACATCAAATACTGCATTTCTATCGATTGAAATTCAGATGGGGGAATCTATATTATAAAAATCCAAATCAACTTCTGGTGGTAAAAATTTGGGACTCGAAATTAAGACTCCGAAATTAAGGGTCACAAGGATCAGATTAAGGGTTATGTGGATCAGATTAAGGGTGGTAAAACTAAGGGTCCCAAGATCAACGGTCACGAGGGTTATGTGAGTGAGATTAAGGGTCACAAGATGAAAGATCACATCGTCAGATTAAGGGCCCAAATAAGGGTAACAAGAGTCAGATTAAGGGTTTAAATAAGTGTTACAAGGATCAGATTAAGGGTCACAAGGGTCACATTATAATGAGGGTCAGATTAAGGATCCAAATGAGAGTCACAAAGGTCGGAAAAAGAGTCAAAAGAAGGGGTTCAATATCTCTCTATAATGTAAAAATCCAAATCGACTTTTGGTGATGAAAATTTGGTGTTCAAAATTAAGACATCAAAATTAAGGGCCAGAAATGAAAGGTTAAAATAAGAGTCCCGAGGAGTAAAATGAAGGACAACATGATGGTAACGAGGCTCAGATTAAGGGTAGCAAGGGTCAGAATAAAGATCATGAGGGTCATACGGGGTTGGCGAGCGGAGCAAGCAGGGGGCGTAGCCCCATAGTAATCTAAGTAAATCCGTCAGGTTCTTCCACCTGAAGGCAAATGCAATGATTTTATCGGTTGCAGTTATTCGAAATTTTCAGGGGAAAAAATAATCATTATTCTTCTCGCATTCATACCTGCTAGTTTTCTAGCCATCGCCGAAGTGAGTCCAAATTTCTCGAATTGCAGACAAGTCCTCTTAGGATCGAACTTCTTCTTCTCGTGCTGCTGACGTTCCCTGGAGGCCAGGATCTTGTGGAAGTCGATGAGGGCTGTAATCCTGGTAGCATGAGGATTTTCCTGTTCTGGCCAACCTCCAGTTGCCACAAACTGGTCTGGGATGCCCGCATCTCGAGAACTCCAGCGACAGAGGGAACAGCAGAGGTAGTATACCTTTCGTGGAGTTGTTCTAACTTCCTCTGAGGGGTTGGAGGCCATGGCGCGGGGAGGACCATGACCTGCACGAATTGTGAGAGTTTGGAAGCACAAGGGACAGTCGAAGCAATTCGAACATCTAGAAATTATTATTTGATTGTTGTAAATGGGACTCCAACGATTATTTGCGAATACGCTACCTTCTATAAGAAGATTTTGGGTAAATTTTGTTTTCGATCCCAAGGTCCTCATGATACCGAATTCTCAAACAAAAAACTTGAATTTTCAAAATTATGTCAGCTTTTATTTTTCTCATCTTTTTTCAGTAACTCTTATAATCAAAACAAGTATGTTGAGCCGTCATACAAGTTGGGTTTCGTCCTGGATCTATTTTATTTTTCATTTTTTCTATTCGAAATTCCGCGAATTTGGTCAAAACACCCCAAAACGATTTCCACTATGTATCGAAAAAATATGTAACATATCAGTATACATTTAAATTCACTTCATACTGTTTATAATCAAAGTCAATCAATGCCATTTTGGGATATTTTGACCAAATTCGTGGAATTTCGAGAAGAAAAAATTGGAAATAAAATAGATCTTGGACGAAACCTAACTTGTATGACGGTTCAAAATACTTGTTTTGATTACAAAAGTTACTGAAAAAAAAGACAAGAAAAATAAAACGTGAAATAATTTTAAAAATTCAAGTTTTTCAACTTTTTTTTTGAAAATTCGGTGTTATGACCAAGTAGAACATTTCTCGACTGGAGATTATATTAGATTTAAAAAAATAGAACTTATGCATTTTTGTGGTGAATGCATGTGACTTGACATCAAAGTCTGTTTTATTTGATTCAAGTAAATGTATCTTAAGAAGAAATAATTGATATTCACCGTAAAATCTTATTTATTTGAAATTGGTTCAAGTATAGGAGAGGATAGGGTAAAACGGACTTTTTTGACTTTTTTTGAAATATTCATGACGTGTTGAATTGTTCATGAAATGGAATAATTTCATTGAAAAACAATGATTCCTCGTTGTGATGAGCTTAGACTAAGCTCAATTGATAAATCTGCTTCTGAGTTATGAATATTTTTAAAAAAGTCAAAAGTGTCCATTTTACCCTACCCTCGCCTATAATACTTCATCAAAGAAAGAAACATCTCAATAAAAATAATTTCTTTCATCAGTGTATTCAGTCAGCTAGAATAATCATCTTCGAATGATTATGATAAATAATATTTCTTCGTGATTGTCATTTTAAAATAGTTTTCCCTACAAAAAGTGTTTTTCGAAGTTTTTCTCTCAACTCAATAAGTGAAGAATATTTCAAAAAATATAACGAATTGTGAGTAATTCATATAAAAAATTAATGAGCTTACTTATTTTTCTTTAGTCGAACCTCAGAGAAGGGTAGATTCTCCATGCAATTTGGACAATAATGAGAGTCCACCTTTCAACAATTGAATCAAGATTAAGTTTATCGTCTAGTCTACACAGCTGAATTGATAAATAACTCAATTATTTATCTTCAGGGGGAATGAATGTCTGGAGTAATTATAAATTCACCTCATGAGACACACAGTAGCCACACCGTATTTTCAGACAATGTCGACAGAAGTAAATCCTTGAAATGGGCTTGAGAGAGCCACAGCTGCAGGTGTACCTGACGTAATCAGGTCGAAATAAATAGGCCATTGTTGATAAAACAAATACACTCTCACTAGCTTTTGAGGGAGATTTTTTTTGAAAAATTTGACAGTTCTCTGTGGTTTCTCACTCGCAGGCAGTTGCCATATTGGTTTTCAGTTTGACGTCCATTCCAGTCAATTCCAGTGGCACAACGTTTATAGATAATTTACCGACTGGAGGTAATTACTCACAGTTAATCCTGAAACTAAAAAAATTATTCAAATTTAATATTTTAACGCCAGGCACGAAAAAAGTCCGTAGAACAACCTAGCAAATTCGATAGATAATTTTTGTCATTCCGGCCGTGAGGCAGCGCTTCACGGACGCTCCGCTCCGCTCCGCGTACGGCCGTCATAACAAAAAATACTGTTCGTCATACGGTCAAAAAAAACTTTTCTAGCTCATATGATTACAAACTCATATTCGCCAGAAAAGTTTTTTTCGGCCTAGTGACGAAATATACTATTTATAAGCAGGGAAGGGTAGGGTAAAACGGACACTTGATTTTTGTTTTAAATATTCATGACTTGTTGAATGTTCATGAAATGGAAAAATTTTATTTTTGTCATTCCGGTCGTGAGGCAGCGCTTCACGGACGCTCCGCTCCGCTCCGCGTCCGTGAATCTCTGCCTATGGCCGTCATAACAAATAGTATATTTCGTCACTAGGCCGAAAAAAACTTTTCTGGCGAATATGAGTTTGTAGCCCTCGCCTTCGGCTCGGGCTGCAAACTCATATTCGCCAGAAAAGTTTCTTTCGGCCTAGTGACGAAATATACTATTTTCATCACGCTGTGACGAAAAGTGAACTTTTCGGCACGCTCCACGTGCCTAAAAGTCCAATTTCCGCCACATTGTGATGAAAAATATTGTTCATAACTCGTGAAAAAATGTTTTTTACCTCGTGGGATTATATCACTCGCCTTCGGCTCATGATATAAACCTCCCACTCGCCAAAAAACACTTTTTTGCACTCGTTGCGAAATATACTATTTCAATTGAAATGATCCTGAAGTTTGCAGAAAAAAATCTTCAACAGAGCATATCTGGTCAGAAAATTGAGCAATTGGAAAATTTCAAATTTTATTTTGTCGGCCGTGCCGAAATCCAATCGTGATGGTGCACGGAGAAAAAAATTCCAAATTTTTTCAGGAGAAATTCAGGCAAAAATTACTGTGCTGTCTGGTAAAGTGGGTTCAATTGTCTAGCACCAGAAAAATTCCGGTGCTGCATAGCAAAAATTCCGGTACCACACAATAAAAGCATGATCCCTGACTGTTTTCTATTACATGATAAATTACATTCAATAGTTAAAAATGAGTAAACATTGTTATTCAGCATATCATTCTATTAATTTTATTTTAACCTCTCCTCCATATCCTCTACCATATTAAAAGCGGAATGCGCGGCAAACGTATCTGGAACGTTTGACAGGCCAATGTATCTCTACAGCGTTATACACCTCATGAACAGAAAATAAAGGGCACTTATTTTATTTCATAACCGTTTTATCACAACATTAATTAATATTTCACTGAATTGATATTATGAAAAACATTAACCTGGGGTTTCAGTAAGGAGATATGAGAGAGGAGGCTAGAGGAGGCGACGGAAATCATCTGGTCACGTTGAGTTGATGTTCGTGGTTGCGGAGGGGGGACGAAGAGTGCCGAAATCTTACGAATGCGCGATCGGGTCCTAGGATTCTGGTAGAACACCGGAAAAATTTGCCAGCCAGTGTCATAATTTTTCTCGTATTTTTCGTAAAAATTCACTGTCGCTTCGATTTTACCGTGCTGCACAAGAATTTTTCCCCGCATTTATCCGAAAAATGACTCGCGCAACAGTACTTTTTCCGTGCGGTACATTTCGCCTGGAAAGACCATCTGAACCCACTTTACTGTGCGAGCACGGTAATTTTTCTCGTACATTTCTCTCCGTGTGCGGGAATATGTAAATATATAAATTAGGGCTTGATTTTATTAATAATTTAACTATGGAAAACCATTGACATGGCATATCTTGCCTCTGATCCAATCTATTTGAAAAAAAAAGTGGTCACAATTTTCATTCTACGAAATTTCTACGTGATTTTTTTCCTTTTTTTTCTACTCCTATTGGTTAACATGAAATCCGCTGTAGAACACTAAATCTGTGACAAGCTTTATTATTCATATGAATCGCCCGATTAAAAAAAAAAAAGATCATGTTTGAAAAAATTAGCAATCTTTTCGTGATGTTTCTTGTTTTTTGTTATAAATGTGTCAATTATGATATATGCAATGTTTTTCACTGGGAAAAAATCAACAGAGGATATCTACGAGGAATATAAGTAGATTGGGATGAAAAACAAACGAAAAGTTGGATTACAATTAAAACTCGACGTGAAATTTTTTTAAAAAGATCTCTCTTTGTTCTGTCCATGAAAAACACTGAAATTACCACAAGTAATACCACGAGAGCTTCAAAATTATCGAGCAATTCCCGATAGGTTTGTTGCAAACAAACGGATGAGTCAAGTCCTTCAGGTTAAAAAATCACGAGTGCTTCGCACTCGTGATTTTTCCTGAAAAACTTGTCGACTTCGTTTGTATGCAGGTAACCTTGAAGGAATTACTCGATTAATTTTGAAGCTCGAGTAGTATTCGGGAGGGAATTTTCCCATCCAAATCCCGGCCAAAAAGAATTGCACTATAAGACAAAATCCATCGGATACTTCCAACCAAGGGTTCACTCGGTCACGGAATCTTTTGTTTTCCACAAATATAGTCAACATGAAAAATTACCAGTTGAATTATCAAAAATGATCAGCTGAATACCGTGTTGACTGTATGAAATAACAGTCGAATAGTGCAATTCTATTGGCTGACATTTGGATGAGGAAAATTCCCAAAACAAAAACTTTCAACGTCGGATATCTGCTATAAGAACAATGATATTGAAAAAAAACAAAATCGATGATTCACATTTTTTCCCAATTTTTACGTGATTTTTGTTGCTTTCCTTTTAATGATTATTCTAAGGGATCTTAGACTAAATAATTTAATAGAGTATATTTTGCGGGGGAATGGCTAAGAAACATGTCGCAGAGAAAATAATTTTAGAAACTCTACGTACCTGTAGAAGATTATCAAGTCAACAATTAAGTTATTAATAAGAATATTTATTCAGACAAAATCAGATACATGTTTTAACTATCAGCCATTAAAACTCAACCGAAGCCTCCATCTCCAAAACTACTTGTCCCTTCAGCTCAAGCCCACTAGATGGTGCCATGAGCTCCACTTCAACACTCAGTTGCCACAGTACCCTCACTCCAATTTTGTTTTCAAAGCTCTCCACCCCCTCAGGATCAAAGGACATTGAACTGAAATTTGAACTAGATTGTCTGCGTCTGCGCTGTTTGTACTGTTCCCGAAGCGCTATCTGCGCTATTTTCAAACATAGGCGGGACTCAAATATGCATATGATCCTTTGTTCCTCCCAAATGTTAGTATTTTCCACTCATTAGTAATCATATTGAAAAATACCCATAGGTGGAAACTCCACACAATCCAACCTACCACCCCTTCTTTTCCGCCATTGCTTCGTATTTACCCACGCGTGATTGTTGTGATTCTGCCGAGTGTGATAAAAAATATCGATAATCAAGTATTAATTTTCTGAAAATTAATGGAACTGTGGGTCGAACGAGTAATTAAATGAAGTGGGAAAATGAAGGTCAATGATAAAGAAGCGGTTGAGGGAATTTTATGGTGTACAAAAAATAAATCAGCTCTCACGGATGGTCCCACAGGTAAAAAAATTGTTGGCAAACTTTGTAAATTTCTAAACATTCGCAAGCATCATCGAGAAAACTTTCGCTCCAATTTATTCTTTGCCTGGCGTAACAATCTCCGTAGGCTGAAAACGCGGATTTATGAAAGGATCAAACGTACTGCAAAGGGAAAACAAAAATCTCGTGTCAAGTTAGGTACTCGAAACATCGACGGTCAGTTTTCTTTAATGAGTGTGAGTGATGACGAATCAGAGGACGAGGAATCTGATGAGGCCGGAATCCAACGCGAACTTGTACGGAAGCATTATGAATACGTGGGATCAGTTACTGTCGATAATGAACACATTCTTCATAAGAAGAAATCATTCCTTCAGAAATTTCACACCATTTTGAGAAGAGATCTACCGGAAAATCTCAGTACCTTGTGTTCTTTACGATTCCACGGGAATAAAGAACGCAATAACGGCAAGTTCTCAGATTTCGCGTCATGCAGGCGACCAAAATGTTCAAAACAATTCAAGATGATGGGCAAGGTGCAGAAATTCCAAACTTCTATGAATGTCTATGCTACAACTGGTGAGTGTACCCATGATCAACCTCTCGTTTACCAACTGCGTGGTGAAGAGCGAAAAAAACTCCAAGAAAAATTGAAATTTCTCGTGAAAAACATTGCATATATCATAAATGAAACATTTATAACAAGAAACAAGAAACATCACGAGAAGATTTCTATTTTTTTCAAACGTGATTCTGTTTATTTTTTCAATCGGACGATTCCCCGTACGAAAAACGGAATATATGTGGACGTCCGCATGAAAAGGGACCACTTTGGCACTATTGGAGTTATGTATATTCCCATAATCTTGATCTGATTCTGAACATTTAGAGCCCAGAATGAACTTGATAGCGTAAAGAGTGACGATGCTAAAGAAGATCGAAAAAATAATTTAACATGGGTTTAAATGGGAGTTGGCAAGAGAAAAACGTGAATATCTCGGAAACTAGAATCGACAAAGTGGTCCCTTTTCATGCGGATGTCCACATATGTGAAATATATGTAAATTATATGCACATATATTTCGGCGAAAAATGCAATACATCAGATATATGCTGAATATAGGCGAGCACATATATATTACCCATATATATTCGACATATATCTAACATATATGTAAGATATATTTTCGGCGAAAAATGCAATATGTCACATATATGTCACGTATAATTATTTGCATATATTTTTTTCCGTGAGGGTCAGATGAATAATAGAGTTCGACAAAGATGTAGTGTTCGACAGCGGATTCAATGTTAACCAATAGGAGTAGAAAAAAATGGGAAAACATCACGTAGAAAGTTCATAGAATGAAAATCGTGACCATGTTTTTTTTTCAAATCGATTAATACTGAGGCGAGATATACCGTGTCAATGGTTTTCCATAGTTAAATTATTATTAAAATGAATCCCTACTTTATATATGTACATATTCCGGCACCATCACGATTGGATTTCATTACGCCCGACAAAATAAAATTTGAAATTTTCCAATTGCTCAATTTCCTCACCAGATATTCTCTGTTGAAGATTTTTTTCCGCAAACTTCAGGGTCATGAATTGAAACCCAATGATTCCTCTTTGGAATGAGCTCAGACTCAGCTCAATTGATAAATCTGTTTCTGAGTTATGGATATTTTTTTAAAAGTTAAAAGTGTCCCTTTTACCCTACCCTCCCCTATTTAAAATTTTATTTAAATAACTATAATGCAATTCAAAACAAAATATAGCGAAAAAAACTTATAAAATCCGTGCTCAATAATTTTAACAGAAAAAATCTCAAGAAAAATAGAAATCTATTGACTTTTTCCTATCAAATATCTGATAGAATCTGCGCAAAAAATTAATAGAATTTTAATGAGAACGCCCTAAAATTTTAATAGAATCTCCATAGAATTTCTAGAGAATTTCAATAGAATTTTCTAGCGAAGAAGACCGTATCGCTAAGGTCTTCTATTAAATTTTTTCATACGTAACAGTACGTTAAAATTTATTCTAATAAAATGAATTCTCCGGAATTAAAAGATAATGTTGATCCTTAGCTTTACAGTTTTTCTCAAATTTTCGTAGAAATTCACAACATAAGCCTTCCGCCACACACGGAGAAAAAAATTCCACAATTTTTCTGGAGAAATTCAGACAAAAATTAGCATGCCGTCTAGTAAAGTGGGTTCAATTGTCTAGCACCAGAAAAATTCCGGTGCTACATAATAAAACTTCCGGTACCGCACAATAAAAACTTGATCCCTGACTAATTTCTATAACACGACCGAAAACATTTGCCAGTCAGTGTTATAATTTTTCTCGTATTTCTCGGAAAAATTCAGTGTCTCTTCGATTTTACCGTTCTGCACAAGAATTTTTCCCCGCACTTATCCGAAAAAATGACTGGTGCAACAGTACTTTTTCTTACTCTTTGCGGCACATTCCGCCTGGAAAGACCATCCGAACCCACTTTACTGTGCCAGCACGGTAATTTTTCTCGTACACTGAGAGAAAAATAAACACGTTGTCAAACCAGTTTTATCGGGGCCAACAAAATCGCTAGTTGAAAATTGCCAAAAAAGAATTTGTTTGGTTCGAATTTGAAAGTCTCAAACATGAATAATTGTTCTACTTCCGATAGCAACGAAATATTTGGCTCAAGAGGCGGATAATTCACACCAGACGATGTCTTTTCAGGATAAAAATATCTCATATACAGGAAAATTTATCAACAAATATTTTATCCCTAAGTTACAAGATTGCTATCATATTATTATTATTGTTTCATTTAAGGGTTCATTTTTTGTCTGTCATTATTAGACAGCCGAAACGAAAAACTACTATCCCTTGTTTCGCATAAATTNGAACCCACTTTACTGTGCCAGCACGGTAATTTTTCTCGTACACTGAGAGAAAAATAAACACGTCAAACCAGTTTTATCGGGGCCAACAAAATCGCTAGTTGAAAATTGCCAAAAAAGAATTTGTTTGGTTCGAATTTGAAAGTCTCAAACATGAATAATTGTTCTACTTCCGATAGCAACGAAATATTTGGCTCAAGAGGCGGATAATTCACACCAGACGATGTCTTTTCAGGATAAAAATATCTCATATACAGGAAAATTTATCAACAAATATTTTATCCCTAAGTTACAAGATTGCTATCATATTATTATTATTGTTTCATTTAAGGGTTCATTTTTTGTCTGTCATTATTAGACAGCCGAAACGAAAAACTACTATCCCTTGTTTCGCATAAATTAAAGATTTTTCGGGAGCAAAATACGTATGGGAGTATCGAATAACGAAGGAGTAGTGCTAGAAATGGCATTTCTTGCATGTACAGAGAATGCAATTTTTTTAAACTACTAAATCTATTTTTGCGACAAAAACTTTTCATTCTGGCGCACTCTCTGCATGTTTGGCATAAATAAATCCTTTTTCGATAATTTTCAAAAAACTATTTCCTTGGCACAAGTAAGACTTGTTTGAGAACTTTGTAGTTTTTCTCTCCGTGCATGATAATGTTTCTTGTCATTTTTCGTCAGAGCGCTCTTTCCACCCACAATTCAAAGTCCACACGATTCATAAAATAATTCACCCAATCCCCCTCATCGATACTATTTCTTTATTTTTCGGCCGCCCGAGAAAAATAGTAAAATAAAGCAACTGTTCTCTCCTTGAAAGATTTAAACTTCACTTCTATTTTCTGTTGCTCCCCCACGCATCAAAATCGTACTGACAAGTTTAGATGCTCGGAAGAAATGTTTTCCCTCAACAATAACACTCCCCTCGCGGAATATTATAAAATAATGCTGTCACTTGTCAAGCCCAGATGTTCGGTTTTCACAGGTAAACAATAATATTTTATTTTCCGATCACGCGATGGCGAGCGGTGGGGGTTCACCAGGAGTTGCTTTCATTATAACATTCTGGAGGTGTGAGGATAGAGAAACCGAGCGAGCTATGACGTCGAACTTCTGGGATCACCCTTACTACAAACCTGCGAGATTTTGCACGAGTATCGTTGGACAGTGGCCACAACAAACCAGAAGGGAACTGATTTTATATCGTTCTGTGCTATTTGTTATGGTGATTCTTCAAATCACATCGCGGGTAATGCGAAAAAATGGAGTGACAGGTGTTCAAAAAATTGGAATTTCAGTCATGACATTGGATTTGATTTAAGAGGGAAATACTCATAAAACTTTAAATTTCCGACCCGGGTGGATCATCTTCCAAACATAATCTTGGTTGTTTTTTGCTTCCGAATGGAGGTATTATATTCGTCGGATTTCGAAATTTTTCAATTTTATCGGAAAATGGTGTAGAATGTTATGAAACGTGAAGAAATGATGGTTTTTGAAAATATCTATATGTCCGGGTCTGATGATTCGGTTTTTGGC